TCAAAATTTTATAAGTCTTGAAACTTTTTGAAATACAGCAGATAATATATACCCTACAATATTAGAAATTGCTCAATTGAATTAATCATTTGACTTTATCAGCAACTAACTTATTCAATTTAAGTCCAAATAATACAAAATTTTTGGTATGCTACTTACAACACACTATAAATTGAACATGTTAACCATCAAAAAAATTATCAACTTAGAAAACATTTTTTTCATCAAAACAAAAAAATCAAACATGGCCTGGATTCCCACTAAATTATCCTTATTAGTTCTAATTTCAATTTTTACAATTGTCATATCAAGAACAACAATAGCAAGTGATCCAGACATCCTTTCAGATTTCGCGTCCCCTGAAAATCAAACCTCTGTTGATGGCAATTACTTCACATACACCGCGATGCGCGGTATATTTCAAAAATCAGTAGATAAATGTACTACAACAAAGGCTACAAAGGCAGAGTTTCCAGTTCTTAATGGACAAGGAGTGTCACTAGCTGTGCTTCAATTCCCTCCGGGTTCTGTGAACCCGCCTCACTACCATTCTCGCGCTACTGGACTTTTCCTCCTCCTGGAAGGCGTTTTAGAGGTTGGTTTTGTCGATACGAAGGGTGTTCTGTATACTCAGAGACTAAAAGCAGGGGATATTTTTCTGTTTCCTAAAGGACTACAACATTATCAGTATAATTTTGATTATAAGAGAAAAGCAGTTGGTGTAGCTGCTCTTGGTGGTGCTAGTCCTGGAACTGTTACATTGCCATCATCAATTTTTAATAGTGGAATTAGTGAATTGGTACTTGCTAAGTCATTTAAGACAGATGTTAAGACGATTAAGAAGATAAAAGAAGCAACCACAACACACTGATATCACTCTCCAGTTGTCACAGGCGAATTCAGGATTTAAATTTGATACGTTCAATTTTTAAGATTCTGAGCGTTGTATTCATTGTAATGTAAGCTTATGGGTTCAGATCTAGTGTTTCTTGATGCATTTCTATACTCCATGTCGAAAGTTATGGATTCAGATTATTCTGTAGTCAAAAAGGCTACATTTGTCCCCACATATTGTTCTACTATCATTTTTTAAGAGTATATTTGTTGTTTTAATATAGTCAAGTATTGAACATGTTGGATCAAGAAAATTAGTTCATTTTATTTCATTGTTCTGTTTTTGTGAGTGTTAAACTTTAGTTTTGGGGAGAATTCATTGGTAGTTTGTTATGGTTTTACAACTACAAATCCTACTTTAAAGCTAAGAGTCTTTCGGAAACAACCTCCCTATCTCTACGAGGTAAAAGTAAGATCCATACGCTCTATACTCCCGAGACCTCATCTGTGAAACTACACTGGATATGTTATTGTAAAAGCTGCTTTGGTTCCAAAGTGTTTAGTGTGATATAGTTACAGTCTACATATATTTATTAGCAAGTTGTTGACAAGGTCATATGTTGACCTCCATAGCAAAGAGATAAGAGGGGGAAGGGGGATCAAGAGAAGCTTGTGGCTATCATAAAGGCATTTAAAGCTCTTGATGAATTTGACTTAATGGTATAACTATATTTTGAAAATAGTCTCTCTACCTTCACGAGGTAGGAATAAGATATGCATACACTCTATCTTTCACAGACCCCGCTTGTAGGATTACATTGGATGTGTTGTTGTAGAACTCTGTACTAGAAAAATAGAGGAGAAAAGCAAACAATTCCTTCTTTCTTACCCCTTCTCATTCTGAAAGGGACACTGTTGAACCATTCAATTAGTCATAACTACCAATCACTATAACAAATACAAGGATTTGCGGCAATAATATAATTGCCGCTATATTATAGTTAGCAACAATAATAAACATGATATTTATAACCAACACTCTATATAAATATCGTTAAAGACTTTAGCGACATTGGATACAATGACATTAACTCAGTTGTTGCTAAAAAAATTGCGGCAAGAGACTCTATCGCCACTGAATATCTCTTTTGTTGTAATGAATGTCCTTTCTGTTACAATATTTTTAATAACTGAGAAATCCCCAGGGCCAATAGAACATGTTTAACTCTACATTGATGGGTTGGTCTTTCTACCCTTCTTCACTTAAACACCAGGATTCTATTTATGGGAGGTGTTAAAGCAGTGACATGCGTCTACCCAAACATCACGTGTTGCACTCTTACAATTAGATTTTTCTTTAAAAAGTCAATATTAGCATTGCTAGCTTTGAATTCAGTCGTTTATACCAAGATAAGTTATTGAATACATCCTCCATCTCAAGCAATAAACTGACAGATATATACATACACCAAAGTCAACTATTTTACATAGATGTGTCTCTAAAAGATCCACTGTGCAAAGTCAAAGTCAATCCATTTATTAGCAGTCTGACTTTCCTGGCAACAGCTATTGCTAGAGGCGGATTCAGAATTTAAATTTGATAGGTTCAATTTTTTAAGATGCATTGTATTCAGTGTACTGTTAAAATTATAGATTCAGATCTAATATCACTTGGTGTTTTAATAGGTTTTTACATATATGTATCTATACTCTGTCGAAAATTATGAATTCAGATCAACATGTAGCCAAAGGGCTACATATCTGTCCCATGTTTTAAAGATTACTTTGTTCTTTGAGAATTCAATACTTGAGAAAAAAACAAAATAATCTCTACTTCCTTACCCCTTCCCAGGCTGAAGGGGTCTATTGAATCATTCAATTAATATCTAATTAATATAAACAATACCTAAAGGAATCAAAACAAAAGGCAGAACAGATAAACGTGCCCTTTCACATAGGATGTATGTATCTACCTGATCAACTTTATACCTATTTAAATGTCTATTGTATGTACATCCAAAGTTGGAGGACATATATATCAATTGACATTAAGGGGTACATTTATGTATCATGTCAAAACAAATAGGGGCCAAATATGGGAAAGATCCTAATTTTCCATTTTGTTTCAATTTTCTAAATAACCAAAAAATCCCCCAAGGCCCGTAAAACACGGTTATAAACTCGACTGATGGATCGGTTTTTCTACCCTTTTCCACTTAAATATCAAGCTTTTGTATGTGGCAGCACTTAAACCCATGAAGTGCACCTACTCACATATCACGTGTTGCACACTCACCACTAGATCATACTTTCGCGGTTCCTTCTTTAATAGATAACCACTAGCAAAAAAAAAACAATATTAGCATGCAAATAGTAACATCAGAATTGCTAGCTTTGAATCCATTGTGCCAGTCAAAGTTCATCCATTTTTTAGCAGTGTTTCAGTTTTGACAAAGTAATTTTAACAAAAAGAAAGCATAGCAGTCTGACTTTCACTAGCAGTAGCAGCAATTGCTGACCATCTATTATCACTAAAACGGCACAAATCCAAATTAATCGAGACTCCAATACGAGAATCAAACACCAGGTGGGAAATCGAAAAAAAATACTATCGCTAATATGGTGTGAGGAAGAGGTAAAAGGAGTCAAAACAACCCTTCGACTACATTAAAGTTCGTGGTAGTTTTATTGCCTTTTTGCACATAAGACCCGGGATATGGAATGAAAGTGGAGTCACATAAAGTATGTAGATAGAAGAAAGCCCTATATGGATGCGGTTGAGAAGTTTAGTGAGGTCATAGTTTAGTTTGGCTACAAAGATCTGTTTCTCATAACGCATTTCGTAATAAAGGGATCTGAAAAGACTACTTCTCGTCATTCATTTTGTAAGCGGCCAAGAGATCTTACTTCCCCGTTTGACCAACGGTGGGCAACATAGAAAACAAGGAAATGGTCTTAAACTGAATTGTTCAACAAAATACCCAATATAATTCCATGTGTAGGGTTTTAAAGAGAGTAGGATGTACGTAGACCTCACACCTACCTTTGTGGGGTAGAGAGTTTGTTTCCTGTAAACCATTAACTTAATTGTTTTGTAACAAATACCGAATAAAATCCCACAAGTGGGGTCTTAGGAGAGGATAGAATGTAAGTAGACCTTACACCTACCTTCCTAGGGTATGTTTCCTATAGGTCCATCAACTGAATTGTTAAGTAATGAGTCCAGCAAATACAAAATATGCATATCACAAGTATAGTTTCTGGTCTTGCACTTTCTGGAAGAATTGATGAACAAAAAAATATGTCTCCTATTCCTATCTTTCAATCTAGTGTAAATGTCAAGAAGTAGAGACGTTTATACTTTAGAATATGTTGCAGCTTCTACTTTTTTGTTGCCAGTACTTTGAAAACCGTTTTCTTGATTTGAGGGTCCGCTAGAGGTAGGATAAGGTCTGCGTACACGCAATATGGGTATGTTATTCAAAGCATTTGTTGTTCCTTCTTTCTCCAAATAACCCAATGGTGTCTTTTGTTCCTCAAACAGATAGGTTAACTATCAGTGGTTCTTTCCTCTGCTGCCTTAAACAGTGAAAACATAACATCAAGGTAAGGATCTCTAGCTAGAACGACGCAGGATTCCATTAGGAGAAACACATGAATTTCAGATCATCTTTGCGTCCAAATCATTAGCCTACGAAGGCACTATTATCAACTTGATGAAATGAAAGACCAATCACCAACCACTACAAAGACACTGGTTCAGTATACTGATGATCAAATGAGAATGTGTCTATATGTTCAAAACGTCAAACAAAGAACAGGTATGATACTTCAAAATGATTACTAGTTTACATGAATATACAAAGAAAATACAAGACTATCTATTGATAGTGTCAGTAAAATGGTGCAAGGTAACTTACTCTTCTGTCTGGGAGCGATGATAGCAGCCTTTTGATCATCCGGTCCAACGCTTGGCTGGTAGCTTCCTCCAGAACAACAAGGCCACACCAAACACAAGTGAAAAAAAGAGTAACCTCAAATGTCGAAAACAAAGATTAGAAGAAAAAAGACAAGATTAGCTCCCATCCGTAGCAAAACGGGGATGAACAAGGCACCAAGCAACAAATCCAGCAGAATACTTAAACTTCCAGATATACGGCACAAACTTAACATAAACTAGTTCTGGAACCAAAACGCCAATGATTTCCCTTAAACTCTGTTTAATTACATGTAAACCTCCACGGGTTGTTCAACTTATGCCATCCATAAGTACAACGATTCAGCTCGTAGCAGTAACTGAAACTATCGACTAAGCTTCTATTCACTAGGTAATCCCCTAAATCAACTGTAAGCTAGAAACAATAAACTATACAAGTTGGAACACATAGATTCCATATGACCATAATATTTACAGATATTCCTAGTTTTCACGTCTCTCTACATGGGAAAGTTGAAATTCTGATACGCTCCTTGATTCTGAAGACTGTTTTGAGGTGGCACCATCTTCGTATCCACTGCAGTGGTAATGTCATGTATGCTCGACCTTTTACGTTCTTTCTTCATCGACTGCTGTCTAAGGTAATATTTTTGAGCATGACTGGCCACCTGTGTCGGTGTCCTCGTCACCACTACATTTCTTGAAATGCTTCTCCAATCACCCTTCCCATATTTGTCCAGCCCAATAAGGAATAACCTATGACAAAAAGCCATGGTTTTCTAAGTCAGCATCAAATCCAAACAAATAACAATTCCAACTATCTTATGAAGTCAACATATATCTCGAGACTCGAATAATATAATTAGATCTATTAGTACTATATATTTTTTTATGTGTGACAAATACCACCTAACACAATGAAGAAGAATTTAACAAAGTTTTTCATAGAACTTCATAATTTTCTACAACTATATTAGCCGTACCACGGGTAGTCAAAAACCTTTTAACTTCATTCAAAGAAGTTAGTAATAAACAATAAGAACTTGTCAATGCTTATCATAAACACTCACTTAACTTATTCATAAGGATGCTAAATATCTCCATCTGTATAAGAAAATGTCCACGCCCGGACCAAACTCACCTATATTTTTCTATGGCACTTAATTGGAAATGTCTTTTATCTCTACGAGGTAGGGATAAGGCCTGTTGCATACACTCTATCATCTCCAGACCCCACTTGTGGAATTTTACTAGATATGTTATTGTTATCCAAAATTGTTTACACAAAATGGATCACACAACAACCATTAACTCCACCTTAATTTCAAGCAAGTCGGATCGAAATACTCACAATCCATTTCATTCTATTTGGATCAGTTCAACAAAGATAAATTACACAACAACTACTACTACTACTTATACAGTACTCACTATCCATTTTACCATTTGAACGAATTACACAACTAAAAAATATCACCTTTTTGAGCAACTGTTTAATCTCACTTTTTCACGTGGCATGTTTAAGATCATAAGATTAAAGAACATTTTAGAAAATTTGACATATTTTAATTCATCACCACAAAGATTCAAAACTGTATCTTTTTCTTAAATTCCTTGCAAAGTCAAAATAATCCAAACAAAAACTACTCACAATTTTCACAGCCAAGAAATAATACCCAAAAATTAAAAAACATTAAATTTAATAAAGTCAAAGGATAATATAGTAATATTACTTCTATTATTTATTGTTTCTTAAGGGGTGTGTCAAGTCAACAATAGACAACTATTATTGAATAGACGGAGTATTATGTTTGCATTTCTTTCGTGGTTAATGTAGACATTGAAAATTTGTGCACTCTGGCATTAGTAGACTTTGAAAATTTGTGGAATTTTGTAAGCTGCAAGATGTGTTAAATTTGGTACATACTCCACCATTGGACTCAAGTTGGTACTGGAAGAAGGTTAATGCCTTGAAAGTAGAGATGCAGATTTGGTATTCATCTGGTGCTTACTTGCTCACTCCCGAGTGAAAGTACTCACTCACACAGAGTTATAATACACCATTGGGGCAACATGCTAGACTTAGAGTGTCTGACTGAATCTGAACTAAATTTGCTCAACCTAAGCATAGATTCATATTGTGGCTAGCTATGCAAGATAGATTACTAAACCAAAGAGAGACTCAAGAGATTAAATATTCGAGTGGAAGATGACACATGTTGTTTGTGTGATAAATCAGTAGAGGAGACACGTATTCACCTGTTTTCTACTTGTAAATGGACAGTGAGAGTCAAAACGGAATTGTAACAATGGATTGGGACACTTGTTCCAGCTGGAACTGTCAAACATATTCTAAATAGACTCAGAAAGAAGAATTGGCAACAGTTTCACAAGGAACTTATTGTTGCATTGTGCGGAGCAATGATATATTAGGTTTGGAGAACAAGGAACTGGAAATTATTTAAAGGCATCACTGTAAATACATATATAGACTATAGTTGTGACACAAATTAAGAAGAAATTTGTAGATAGACTTGAGGTAGTTAAACATGATGAGAAATGATGTGGTCATACAAATGCTTTTGATGATGACAAAATATGAACCAGGTGCTTATATGCATGACTTGAACAAAACATAAGAAG